GGGCCTGGAGCCTTGTTATTGGGCATACTGTTCAAAGCTTCCTGGAGTTCACTTGGTGTCAGCGGAGAATCCAGTGCCATCGTTTGATTATCTGATAATTTTGGAAGGGTTATACTATCAAGAAACTGGTCAATTTCATCTTTAGATGGGTTTATCTGTGGTGAGTATAAAGATTTGTAAAAGTCCCTGAAAGTGTTGTTTATTCTATCAGGGTCATATACTGTATCGCCGGTTAAGTCTTTAACAGCACATATAGTTGTTTTCTCTTTATTTATTTTTAACTGGTTTGCTAGAAATTTACCTGATTTGTTACCATGTTCATAATTTTGCCATCGAAGTCTTTGTGCTAAGAATTGAGTTCTTTTATTAATAATTTCATTTAATTCTAATTTTGCTTTACGTATTTTGTTCAGTATTTCCTGTTCCGGGGATGATATATAGGCTTCTTCTAAGGATTTTATGGTTTCTTCTAATTCCTGAATATACTTGTTTTCTCTTTTCTTTTTATGTGATGAGAATGAGATTATTTTACCTCTCATCACAGATTTGCCTGCTTCCCAGAGAACAGAGGCTGATGTTCCAGGCAGGTCATTATAGTCTAAATATAAAGCCCACTCTTTTTTGAAATAGTTAGTAAAATCTCCATCTTTAAGCAAAGATGTATTAAATTGTAGGAACTGTTAAGTGAAGCTAGGGTCATTTCTTCGGCGTGCTTCATTACATATGAAGTCTGTGAAGAATGCAAATGGAGGAAAAGAGACATTATACTGCTCCCTGCCATGCCTTTCTCGCTGCCTGAGGTCCCAGCCTTACCTTGTCACCACCTGAGGTCCCCACCATGCATACCCTTATGCTAGCGGCTCCCGGGCCCAGAGGAGGCCGCTCAGTCTTCACCCTGGATCTAAGCATTGTCAGAGGGTCCCACTGTGCTGCACCCGTCGCCTGAGGGTCCTGCCATGCTGCGCCCACCATCTGAGGGTCCTACCATGCTGGGCCCACCACAAGATGGCCTTGGCTCATAGTCACCCTGGAAGGCCATTTCGCTCCCATCTCTACTCCTGCCAGGCTGTTGCCAACAGTCACGCCTGCTCCTGCCATGCTGTCACCAGCAGTCATGTTTGCTCCTGCTACGTAGTTGCCAGCCATCACACCTGCTCCTGCCATGCAGTTGCCAACCATCATGCCTGCTTCTACCTGCCTGCCTGCGGCCATCACCTCATTGGTTCCTGCCTGCTCACCCACAGCTTTCACCTCGTTGGTTCCTGCTTGCTTGCCCACGGCTATTGCATCCTAGACGGATCCCACCTGCTTGCCTGTCAATTTCACTGCCTGGCCCCTCACCGGTGTACGTCTTGCCTTGACTGAACTCCACACCTGCGCCCACCGCAAGGCTGCTGGTGGTTGTCCAGACCCCCACCTAACCATTGCCAACTAGTGACCTCCACCAGCCCTGTGCCTGACATGCATGGCGCTGCCAGCCCTGCGCCTGACATGCAAGCTGCCACCAGCTCTGGCCGTCAAGCCAAGAGGACCTAGAGTGGGATCCTCTGAGCATTGCCCTGAGTCCAGCTTTGTGGGTCCCTGCACAGCCACCGTGACAAACCATGTTCAAAAAGGGGCTGTTTGAGTTTTTCAAAAAGGGAGGCGGGGACATACCATCCATGCCATGTTCGATTCGTGCCTTGCAGGCCCATTTCTAAGTGAATTTTCTAACTCTCTTCCCAAACTGTTTAGGCTTTTAGACATTTTTGGAAATCATGCAGGTTATAAATTAAATATTCAGTAAATCCAGATTTTAACATTAAACTATACTCCATCAAGACTGCAATAAATTCCAGTTAAAATGGGGCCAGTCTTCACTGAAATAGTTATAATACATTGGGTATAATGCTACCCAATGAAGATTCAATGTTGACAACACTTAATTATAGTACCCTTGTTAAAATAAATAGATATACAGTGGTACCTCGACCCACGAACAGTCCTGTTAACGAACAAATCGGGTTATGAACCAGATGTTTGAAAACTTTTTGTACCTGTTTGCGAACTGTGTTTCAGGCTGCGAACACACAAACATCCCCCAAAAGCACATCAAAGAACCACCCGAAACACTTCATAAAGCATAGAGAATGTAATCATTAGGACTCAATTAAGAAGCTGATATAAACCATGTAGAGATTGACCATATAACCTTTAGAGAAAGCAAACCAATTACTGCTGTGCACAATGTGACAGCATTATACAATAAGAAAATTTATAAAAATCTGTATAAAAACAGTATTGGACACACTCCTGCAGGGTGTCCTGCCTTGGCTGTAACCACACTGTTGCAATAAAGGCTGAATCTGAAGATCTACACATGCGGCTCCTGACTCCTGATTGGAGGGGAAGAAAAAACCACAAGACTATCATGCCAGACGGAATAGTGTAATAGCGTGGATGCAAAAACCTTAAATAAATGAACAGAATGAACAATAAAAATGACAATCAAAGAAAGCACACTTTTTTAAATGAGCAGAATCATTAACACTAGTTCTCACTAAACAATAAAGCAACGACTCCAGTTGGTTAGCCATAAAATGGCAGAATGAACGGCTATGGCAATGCCAGAAAATGTAATACAGTGCACGCCTGCTCGAAAATAATGCGCATGCGCAGCGGTGCGAGGTACCACTCGGTACTCGATTTCCAACCCAGTACAAGTAAACCACGCGCCCAATTCTGTGGCGATAGTTTTTATTGGTAAGATTTATGAACTTGGTGGTAACATCTTTTCTTGGGTAATTTGTCTATTTTTTCTTTTTTGTTTCTTTCACGAGTAACAGTAGACCTTATAACAGCCTTATAATGGGGGCTTTCATTGTTATATTTCAGGCTGCCAGTCTCAAAAACTAGACATACCTGCCTACCTGTACCTAAGTCTGAGCTAATGTCTATGAGAAGCGCAGGTGGGTTATCCTATCGGTTAACGTTACCCCAAATATTTACTATATCGTAATTCCATTTAAGTTTACCATCTGAATCTGTAGTGTTGACGATCCTCTATCACATTCTATTTGATTCTATTAATACGAGAGAATATTTTTGTGGAGAATATTATTTGTGTGCCGTAACTCGGACGCTGTAACTATGAAGTGAGGTCAAATGTTGATAGACAAAAGCGGACGGTTTTGATTTCTACAGCCAATGACGATGTAAACGTGTTTCTCCGGCCGATGGGATTGCAACAAGAGGTGTGGCTTACTGGAAATGGGTTGGAAATTGAGTGACGCGACCGGTACAAAGACGAACTAGGGAAATGTTTTACGGCAACTCGGACGCACGCCGCTAAGGCCAGGAAGTGGAGATGAAGGGGAACATGTCTGAGAGCCAAGCCGAGGCGGGAAACGACATGCCGGCGAAAAAGCAAAAACTCAGTAGCGATGAGAACAGTAATCCCGACCTCTCCGGGGACGAAAATGTAAGTAGCACCCGGCCGTCTCTAGTATTTTCACTGAAGGTAATTTATCAAATGATATGTCGGACATGAACTTTCTCCCCATTTCATTGTTTAAAAATTTAGTTCGAATATTAGGGTAACAAGCTAGCGGTGGATTGTTCTGTATTCGGAGGCCCATTTATGACCGAACTGATTATTTAACACATAGTCTATTATCCCCGTTGCGATGGTTATATTTGAAATCACTGTCTAAGAGGATCGTTGGATAGTTTATTGGTAAACTTTCTGTAAACAAGCACGGTTTGAGTGTGCCTTCAGAGACGATGCGCCTCCTTAGCCTAGCATCCGGTGAGTTCGCCTTTGTTCCGCTTGTCTAAACTTTTAACTAGTATAAAATATGAGGTACGAAAACGTTTACTAAAGAAGCGAAGTACTCGTCTGTGGCAGCAAGACATTATCATGTTAAAAATTCTGAATTTGCTACTGCATTTAATTTGTTGCCTGTACTTCTTTACGTATACGGTATAGTGGATACGTTAAATGTCGAATCTGTAACGGCGTAATTCATATACTTAAAAATATCCCCTATATTTTCTAGGTCTTTCCCTTAACAGCAAGTTCGATTTTTGTGCGCATAAATTTTCGATCCTTCTGGTACTAGTCTGTAAAACATTGAGAAATCTTTCATGAATATTCCTATTTGTGCATTTATTACCCTTCTCCGGGTGGTTTTACTGAACCACATACATCGATCTGTTATTAGTAACTAGCAGGAGGGTAAATGAGCTTTAATCGTTGTTTAATGAAGCAGTCGTACAGGTTTGCCAACTCAGACGCATTTGGCGTGACGCTCATGCTTTTCATGTGATTTAAACGTTCGTGCAAGAAATCCTATGGCAGATCTATATTATTGCCTTATAACACTAAAATGATCTACACGAAAGTTGTTGGGGTAGTTTGCAAACCCTACAGACTATTTGCAAGGTAATGAAACTTGCATACATGTAAATGTGTGTGCAGACTTGTCTCGAATTGAAAATTTCACTTCAGCCTGATGACCAAAGTTGGCAACCCTGGTCATAGCACTCTGTCACACACAGGTTTTGTCCTGGCTCTTTAGACCATGGACCCATTTTCCTGGCAGTGTATGGAAAACCACGTATTTGACTAATTGTTCCAGTACTGATTTAACTACTGCTAATTCCTGACTGATCTACCATTAATTGATCGTATGGGAATGTAAACTGTATGTATGTGTCTGTATGAGGTTCCAGGATTTGGGCGACAGATTTAAACCAATGCATAGAGTCCTATAAATATTTAACATTTTCAGAAGAATTTGTAAGGTACTGATGCAAATATACTGCAGCACCTTTTAGAATTTGTAAAATTTTGATAACACTAATCCAGTCCCTTCTGGCTTTTCAAGGATGATGCCATCAGCATTGAGAGTGGGACCAACATGGAGCGGCCAGACACACCCACAAACACACCCAATGCCCCGGGCAGGAAGAGCTGGGGAAAGGGCAAATGGAAGTCGAAGAAATGCAAATATTCCTTCAAGTGTGTGAACAGTTTAAGGGTGAGCTCTGGGCTTATTATGCCTTTTAACCTACTGTCAGTCATTGAGATGATGTAGTGGATGGAATATAGTCAGGTGGTGATAGGTCTTTGTCCTGTGATTATCAGGAGGATCATGGCCAGCCCTTGTTTGGAGTGCAGTTTAACTGGCACAGCAAAGAGGGGGATCCCCTGGTATTTGCCACAGTGGGAAGTAATAGGGTAAGGAGTGCCTGCATATGCTTATATGCACAAAAACACACTAACCCAAGCTGTTTAAGGCAATCCTGTGCTGCTCCTCTCAGGTGACCCTGTATGAATGTCATTCCCAAGGTGAGGTCAGACTCCTGCAGTCTTACGTGGATGCCGACGTATCCTTCTCTTGCATGTTAATTCTCCCATTGCTGTAATATTTTCTTTTGGTTCTGGTATTGATTTCTTTTTTATTGGTGCTGGTATGCTTTAATTGTGCCTTTCTTTGTGCTCTGGTATATTTGCTGTCTCTTCATGTTGTAGTTCTAATTTGGGCTAGATATGGGTTGGTTTTCCTTTATACTAGTTCCAATCAGGCAGATGAGAACTTCTACACCTGCGCATGGACCTTTGACACCAGCACCAGCCACCCACTGCTCGCAGTGGCTGGATCACGAGGCATCATCCGAATCATCAATCACATTACCATGCAGTGCATCAAGGTGCGTGTGTCTGTTGCCTCAATCCTATGAACTAGGTGTCATATCCCTGCCTGCTTACTATTATGGCCTTACTACTGGTTGCCTGGTGATTGGAAGGAGTGTCAGCACCAGCTTGTCATCACCTCCCTGCTCCCCGGTTGTCTCAAATCATATGACTTAAACAGTGTGACTTCGCACTTAGCCATCTCTCCAATTTGACTCTCCATGCCGGCCCCTGGAGGATGGGCTCACCCTTTGAGTCCGGTTTCTCCCAAGGTTTCTTCTTTCTAGGGAGTTTTTCCTTGCCTCTGTCGCCTATGGCTTACTCACTGGGGGCTTTGGGTGGGGATGCTGTAAAGTGTTTTGACACAATGTAATGTTGTGATAACGCACTATACAAAATAAATTTTGTTATACGATCTGTTATTAATGCAGTTATCAGTGCTTATTTTGTTTTGTCTGCTGCCGCAGCACTATGTGGGACATGGGAATGCGATTAATGAGCTGAAGTTTCATCCTCGAGATCCGAACCTCCTCCTGTCTGTCAGCAAAGGTAAAACGGAATAATCATTTGTATCCATCCATCATTTATTCCAGCAAACAGAAAAATATACCTTTTTTATTGTTTTTATTTATTTTCTGAAAGGTGGAATATAAAACCTTTTAAGTACAGTTGAGTCTGTCACTGGTCCTGTGTCCCCCAGATCATGCCCTGCGGCTGTGGAACATCCAGACAGACACATTGGTGGCTATATTTGGGGGTGTGGAGGGTCATCGGGATGAAGTGCTGAGTGCAGTGAGTAAAGAATTAAGATGAGGTGTGTCATAGGTTACAAGGTTCTGAATGCCAGTCTTGATGGGCTTGGAGAAGGTTGTCTCCCCCTTTGTGCAGGGTAACGTGGTCTGACTTTCTTGAGAGTAAGGTAAAGGGGTAATTGCCTGATTTTTATTGACAGGACTTTGACCTCCTTGGGGAGAAAATTATGTCATGTGGGATGGACCATTCTCTGAAGTTGTGGAGGATCAACTCCGAGAGGATGCAAAAAGCCATTCGGGGATCTTATGAATATAACCCCACTAAGACCAACCGGTGAGTCTAAACTCCAGAAAACAGATTTCTAGGACAGCAAAAGTGAATTTACTTTTTTTCTTTTTATTGAATGTGATGTGATGGTAGGATTTGACATGGTCAGATTTGTAAACTTGTTTAACCCTCTGGAGTCTAGGGGTAGGGAACTTAGTGTACTTTGTAAATATGTCAGATTTATGTTAAGTTTGTAATTTGACATCAAAGTATAGACATTGCAAAATGCAGTTTGGAACAATTGCAGACACATTATAAAAGTACATAGTAAGCAATGGTGGCAGTTTGTTTTGATCAGCAAAGTCTTGGCTAGATGAAGATGACTAAATAGTGTAGTTGCAACATTCAGTTGGATAAATAAATAAGAAAAACCGAACTCGTCACTATTTCTGGCTCCTTTCATTGAATATGTAGCAACTTTCATGTGTATGAATGAGCCATTGACACCTGGCCACGTCCCCCCCCTCCCTTGTATGGCGCTGACGGGGATGTATCTGGATTGCGTTTCACCGCTGCATTGTTCATCAGATTACCATGCGAATGCGTTTTGAATACACGCTAAGGCGGCTATTTATAATGTGAATAGCGATCTTCGGGTGAGAGCGGTACTACACGCCCCCGATGCAGGTAAAACAAAGTAAGGTGACATGGTTTACTTTTTTTGCCAATTTAACCTAATTTTAAAAACTTTAATACTTCCAACAATGGACGTTTTGAAAAGAAGACAGATTATGGATTTAGTCAGTGTTTTTTTTTTTCATGTTTCTATAATAAGATTTCAGCGAGTTATGAACTGAAATACACGAGAGAGATACTCTGCATCGTCAACGATGCCGTCAACTCCAGAGGGTTAAAGGTGGATGAGAGCAATGTTTTGTTTATTCCTATGCCTTGCTAAATTTTTGTCCACAGACCCTTTGTCTCCCAGAAGATCCATTTCCCAGATTTTTCCACACGGGACATACACCGCAATTATGTGGACTGTGTGCGTTGGCTTGGAGATCTGATCCTATCCAAGGTAAGATTGAAGTCACAGGACAGTGCTAGCAAAGTCATGATGAACATTCCCAGTGTCTGGTCAGATTTATAGATCAGAGATAATGAGGCAGTGAAATTTAGTTGACAAGGATTTAAATGTACAATAAACACACAAGCCAAGTAAAATAAGTTGTAACTTGAAATTTGGAATGGACCAGAGATTTGGGAAATTGCTTTTCCAGGGATGGAAGTGTGCAACAACCAACAAAATTAGTTTTAATGGATTGTCAAGTCAGGGGGCTATGAAGAGAAGTAAGTCAAATGAATCAATAAAGGATGACCACTGCACTCAAACTGCTGTTAATCACTTAGGCACATTTATATTTCTAGCTGTATGAATCAATTTTTTTTTGCACCTTTCACAAGTGTTACCCCATGGCACTTTAAAGGGGTGTGTTGTGATGTATTACTGCATCATTTATACAGAATAATTAAAAAACAGAATAGAGAAGCCCAAGGGTTAAAATAATTGCACATCTTGGGTGATATGGTGATTCAGTGGGTGTAACTGTTGCCTCAAATGTTTTGAAACCCTTCTGTTTGTATGGCACAGGTGTCAAACTCCAGTCCTGGAGGGCCGGAGCCCTGCACATTTTTGGGTTTCCCTTCATTTAACACACCTGATTCCAGGACTGGAGTTAGACACCCCTGGCATATGGTTTGCAGTTTCTTCCCTTGCTGTATGCTCTGGTTTTCTCCTGTGGTCCAAGGACATGCAGTCACCCTTACTTGTGTGTTCTGCAATGGACTGGACTGGCCTTTCATCGCATTCAGCATACACCCCTGCCTTGTGCCCAATGCTACTAGTCATAGATGTCAAATCCCCCATGGCTCAGCAAGCAGTTGGAAGATGGACAGATATTAAATTTCAGGCTTGTGCACCCCGCAGCTGCCTAAATGACTGATTGTTTTAGCTCCTTTCTCTACCTTCCAGTCATGTGAGAATGCCATTGTGTGCTGGAAGCCAGGGAAGATGGAGGATGACATCGACCGTATAAAACCCAATGAGTCAAATGTGACCATCCTGGGCCGCTTTGATTACAGTCAATGTGACATCTGGTACATGCGATTCTCCATGGATTTCTGGCAAAAGGTACATGAGGTTTTGGACACCCAATATTCTCCATTCATAATGCCTTTTCAGTTATTTTCATATGCACAACTTCTCATTTTTCAATGTAGTAATATGAAATAAGTTTTTGATCTCTTCCAGATGTTGGCTTTGGGAAATCAGGTGGGGAAGTTGTATGTGTGGGACCTGGAAGTGGAAGATCCACACAAGGCCAAGTCAGTTATATTCCTTTGTCTTTTTGTTTGTATAATGAAATGAATTTACGTAATGAAAGGGAATCCATCTAATTTTGAAAATTTTGCTTATCATAATTGTATGCTGCTAGGCCTGTCATAACTACCTCTGTTGGGTGATATATTGACAATTGTTGGAAACCAATATTATTGTCCTTTTTAAGACCATTTTTTTGCCACTGATATATAATAGCTTAATAATGCAATTGTATACTTTCAAAGAGCAATGAACTTAAAATTCTTACGAATATTCATGCATTAGAATTGCAATGTTAAAAAAATTAAGTATCCTGAATGAATAAAACTACACAAAAGAAAGATGAAAATAGACTCTAATGGCTGGTTCATACATCTCCGCAGCACTCTAGTATCCACTCTGCGTATGCGTACACGGACACGTTCATAGTTCCCTGGTCAAGCTGCATACTTTGCGAATGCGGACGTTTTGTACTTATTTTCATTAGTAATAATATAAATTATTCTGATATCCCTGCACACATACCACAGCAGTGAGGTTTGTGTCGGTTTGTCTGTTTTACAAAGTCAGAAAGCCAGCTCACAGGGTTATCAACTTTGTTCAGCTGGTTGGCATGAGATTTTCAATTCGAGACAATCTGCACTTGCATTCACATGCATTTAGATGTATGTAACAGTTTTATTACCTTGTAAATAGTCTATAGGGTTTGTAAATTACCCCCACAGTCATCAGAAGCATCCATGTTGGTATTTAAAGTGGACACTAGCAAATCGATCATGCCCAGTGTCTCCAGAGCTGTTTGGACACAAATTTGGAGTGCAACAAACATTCATCTATGGAGGCCTACAATGAGCGTCATAAATGTTTGAGCAGACACGTCCTCTTATATGCATGCAGGGAAGTATGAACCAGCCTTAAAGCTCTGTTAAAATTGGCACTAAAATGACATGGTGTTATAGTCATTCGTTCCTTAACTGGAAATGTACTGCAAACCTAGTTTTGCGGAGGCTCCACTCATAAAAATACATAATATAGAAACTGAATTTAAAAAATCAAAACAATGACTGTCCCCTCATATACATGACCGACTGCAGATGGCTGAAACAATAGATGATAGTGAACCATCCGCGGACCCCATACATAACATGACCTCTGTGTACTTATGGTAATGATATTATGCACAGTAAGACATTACTAACATTAAGTAAGTTGTGCATTATACATATTTAAAGTATGGTAGATTCTTGAATGCAAGGGATTTAGCCTCATTCTACATACATATGGTGAAGTTGAATATTGACAAATTATGCATATCAGGACATTACCAACATTAAATTCAGTAATAATAAAAAGATACGTTATTGTACTACTATTGTACTTGGATGTTTTAGCCTAATTCTCAAGATTCTACAATGAAAATATGTATCGAGCGGATGGAGCAATGAAAATCATGCTTTTCATATGTTTTATAACAGACACTGCAGTGATATGTCAGTGAATACGATTAGCAGGAACACTAGGCAGACTGGATGAGTTCTGCAGGAAAGTGTGGGTATGAGGACGAAGGGAGATGTTATGTACTACACATGACTGGGCTGATGGATTTCATCATGTTACAGTTACAATAATTGCTTGCCATACAGTATGAAGTTTGTATGTAATTTTCCATTTTTTTTGTAAAGTGAGACCCCGGATACGGGGTCTCACTTTACAGTAGTCCCCATATATTGAGTTTCAGTAACTACAGTTTCAAATAGGGATGAATGATTTATCGTTATGAAATCAAAATCATGATTTGAAACAATCCAATTAGCAAATTGCAAAGGCTGCAATTTAGGATATGCGTTATACAGCTCATCTGACCCAGGGTTGAAATCTGTTGTACTACATGTTTGATAAAACGTGTTTGAAAGCTCTTGAGTCTGTGCACCAGATGTTTTGAGATTTTCTGAATAACTGATTTGAAAATTTAATGTTCGAGCTTGATAATGGATTTTCTGTGGGCTGATGTCATCAAGGATGAATATATTTTCAACATAAATCCACATTACTCTGAATTTAGTTATTCAACATCCTCATGTAAGACTTCCCTCTCTAAAAACATCCCCCATCATTTTTATTGCAATTTAGCCAACATGTAAAAGATTTATGACACAACTCTGAAGTAACACGGTTGATAGGACTAATACAATTGACAGGATGCATCAGGAGAAAAAATACAAGTACGGGTATACCTCATTTAACGTCCATGTTACATTTTGTGAAACTACAAAATGTTTGAATAACACCCATATCACATATGTACTGACCAACGCTAAGCAATGCTATGATTAAATTCACAGGGCTTTGTTAACAAGGCCCATGCAAGTATGGTGCACTTGCTTTGGGCATGAAGCGCAGGCAAATGTGTGTGATTCTTTTGCCTGGTCTGCGTGCCACTATATCCTGTTGTTAGATTGTTTTTTTTTTTCCCCCCCCATTATATACTTAAGCACTATGGACATTAACGGGAATGGACATTGTTTGAGTAGACATTGTGCGAGGTATAACTGTAAATTATAATTATATAATTATAATGTAATTGCACTTGTTCATATTTTAGCATGTAATTTGTGTTGAATAAGTTGAATATTTTTATCACTCAATGTTTTAAACACTAAATATAAGCATAAACTATAATAAACCCTACCAATATTGTCAACTGTGTTAATCCCTATCAATCATGTTACACTTGATTGGTAACACTGTTGATATTTCTTAAATTTTAGGCCCTTGTACTAACTGCTAGGTGCAAAGTCACCGCATGGCCTTAACTCATATTTAAACAAGCTTTGTCTACATTTTTGTAAATATAAAATCTAAAGCAAGAACATGTTAACACAGTTGGCAAGCAATTAACCCAGTCTATGTGCAGATAATGATAATGATGAGGAAAAGAAACTTGCATTTCTAGTTTATGTGATTGACAAAGCACCCAGTGCTCAAAGTATGCTGGCATTGGTGTTGGTACTATTAAATGCTTTAATAAAAAAAATAAGCTAAATTCGGCAGAGAGAATAAACTGGGGTTGTTAGTTCCTCGTCAGTGAAGTCATCTATGTTATGTGGATTTAAATACGTAAACCTCATATATACATGTTTTAACAACACAGTGAGCCAGTAGCTGTAGTTTTGACTGACGCAAGTATTTTTAGCTAGCCATTATTAAATTCATGAGCAAGGGCTGGTTTAGATTCTGACATTCACCAAGTGTTAAGCGACAAACTTAAACTGCAAAGTTTCTCCCGAAAATGATTTTGTGGTAGATTTTGGGGTTAAAAGCATTTTGCTTTGCCTGGCATGGTGATTTAAAAGATATAACCCTTGGGAGCCCTTTAATAATAATTTTTCATAGATCACTTCAGTCTGGCCAACCTTGAAGCTGTGAATATGAAGTTTGTGTTGTCAGTAAACCTGGATGAGCTTACTGACAAGGAGTAAATGGGTAGTTTTTCTGTTTGCCCAGTTTAGCTTGTTTTTTTCTGATCATTGAACCCTTATGAAGGTACGAACAACAATGTCAGCATATTTTGAGCAGTGGGTGCTTCATTCATGTAAACAAAAAATAGAAGTGCACATTTTGACTGCCGTTCATACTTTAAAAGAAACATATTGATAATATTTAAGGTATTATGGTTAGAAAATGACAATTATAGAAACTTTTTTATAATTTAAAAAAATTTGATATAACAATGTTTTTTTTTTTTCCAGTAATAAGTACAGGGGCGCGTTTCCCAAACGACGACGGAAGTTGGCATTAACGATGCATCGTACTATGGTAGTTCAAACTAACCAACATCCGAAGTACCTAAAACCATTGTAACCACAGTAGTTCGAACCACGTTAGTTAGTTGGGACTTCCATAGTTCGAACTACCATGGTTTCAGCGCTGATTGGTCAGACTCACAGCGAATAGTGTGCAAAAACTAACAAACTACTTTCACAGCCGGTCGCATACAAAAACTCGTGAACTGTGTAATATCATATAAATATTTCATAATCATATATATATATCAATTTATTGTGTCAGTCACATAACCCCAATAATATGAAAAATAGCAATCGTGACAACATAATGTGACGCTTCTTGGAGTGGTAAACAGAAGAACTTTTAGCTATGACACTGCATTTTGTGAAAGACGCTCCATCTGTAATTACATTGATAGCAGTTCATTGTGTTTCAGTCACACTACAAACACTTACAAATTCCTGGTCTGACGTTGTCGCTTACAGAATGTTAGCAGCTGACTGGAATAGACAGGTGCGTGTAATATCCAAACATCAGCCGTCATTTCCCGAGTAAGGCATGGATTCGTATCTGACCGCTGTAGTGTCATTCTACTCTTCCATTATGGCAATGATAGCTGTCAGTGTATAAGGAGTACTTCATCAAAGTGCTCTACTCTTTTCTAAGGCGACTGTTGTCCCTCTTAAGTTATGTGTGTAATGAAGAAACTGCACAACACCCAATGGTCTGCATATAACCATTTGATCAGTTGCTCAAACCCAGTTGTGCGAACTCTTAAGTCGATCAATCCTCTACGTACTACTGTAAGCACAGAGTTGCAGCGAAAAGCTGTATGCCTAACGGCCCCTTCTGGATAAAATTAGCCACCCCTGTGCTAATCAATACTTCGCAGTCTGAGAATTGTTCCTATTGCTCACTACAGACAGTTACCGTACTTATGACCAGAGACCCACACAATAATTACGTTTCAAACTACATTTATATGTGATCGTAGAGCTAAATAAATTTTTAATACCTCTCTTACTTACATGGGGACTATACCCTTATTAGACTGCATTTTCCACCATCGCTGACATATCCAGAACTATGCAACGTAACGACAGTGTTTGTGAATGTTCGTTCGAACTATGGTTTTGGGAAACACCTGCGTCGTTTAACGATGCATCGTACTACGTAAGTCCGCAGTATCGTTACCTCCGTAATTCGGACTATGGTTTCGGGAAACACCTGCGTCGTGCTTACATAGTTCGAACCACACAAGTTGCAACTATGATTCTGGGAAATGCATCCAGGTTATGTGGGGACTGAATCTCAGCAGCACCCGATGCATACAGTTTGCAGGATAAATTCCATACATCAACTTATTTTAATTATGATTTTGTTTAACATTTAAGTGTAAAACAAGAAGGGCTTAGGCTCATGGGATGGGGGGAAAAAACATTTGCATTTGTGGCGATTGCTTGCCTTCCCCTGCAGTTGGCTTGTCAATATCATGGTATTGCAATATTGTGGTTATTGCAACAGCTCTATGTAGAACATGTATAATGCACTGTCATCCCATGATACATGACATTTTTTTGTTGCTGTATTGTCCCTTGAGAATTAGACTCTATCATAAGGACACAGAAGTCATGTTATATATTAGGTCTGAGGATGGTTCGCTATTATCTACAGTTTCAGGTACATGCGGTGGGTCTTGGGATTTATGACCCGTGGGTAAAGGGGGACTACTGTACTTGCATTATTATGCAATTATATTACCATTATATCAGTGGCATTAAATGATCCTAAAATGACAATTTCTATAGTTTATCTCACTTATTTCTGGGACAATGTATCATCCAACAGAAGTAGTTATCATGACAGGCTTAGCTACATGACTATTTATATGCAAGTTACTTTGAGCACAACACAAGAACTTAAAAACAAAAAGCAGGAACGTCATCTTCAACTGCCTTAGTTTGGGCTTCAAAATCCTTCCTTGGAGTTCTCTACAAAAGATTCCTATGCACGTCTACCAACCTGTTCCCCCATCTGAGATAAGCTTTTCTCTCCCTCCCCAAAAGGTGTACCACCCTCACCCTCCCAAAATGCACCTCAGCAATTCGCCAAACCAGCTTCAGCCGTGACAGCAGCATTCTCATCGCTGTGTGTGATGATGCCTCTATCTGGCGCTGGGATCGCTTGCGCTGATTACATGTCACTGTCAAGACCTATGGTTTTTGTTTAATGCAGGGTCACCAGACTGAGCTGACCTCTTTCTTTACTTTTTTTGGCTTTCATGTTATAATAAAAGTGTATTTTTTTAATCAATATGTTGTAAATTATCGTTTTGATGGTTGTTGGTATGATAACTTACATTTTATTTGAATGAGGGAAAATACAAACTTGAAACGAACACAATTAGTCATGGATTATTGTAAATTTGGGTGGGTATAAATAACGATGAGCTAGATTTGATATTAAGCAGTAGTTCACGCTGTAATACTCAATACTATATTGCCAGTGTTTTGTAAAAAGAAAAAAAAGGGGGGGGGGGGTTATTACTTTGTTTGCTATGTTTGTATTTAAGGTACACACTGAGTCCCCTTCATGGTAGTGGAGTTCTCTGATGGAAGTGGCCTCTTACTGGGTCATTACATTTTAAATCCAGTATTATATTGTATTATATTTACTACATCATATTACTATGTTATATTGCAATAGATACAGTGCATTTGGCGCAAGGCAGGAACCAACCAACCATTGCATGGTCAGCCAAAGGCATTTAAATTGCATATTTCTGGATGGTCTAAGGAAACCGGAGACCACCAAAAAGCCACACCCACCCAGGGTGAATATACGAACTGCATACACACAACACAGCTGTGTGCAGCAGCAGCGCTACCTGTTGTACCACTGTGCCACCTTAGCTTAATGTGCCATTGTCACATCGCAGGGACTACAATAGTCTGCTGGGTTCATACCATCCATATGTTGGGCTAAAACATTTTTGGTCAGTCAAAGGAAAGAAAATTTAGCAAGCTCTGTAATTCTAATGATGGTTCCTTTTCAGAATGATCTAGTGTATGTTTTTAAAAAATCAGTCAAAGGTTTACCACTTTTGCATGAGCTCTCCATTCGTTCTCTGACACCATCACAATTATTTTTGTCTTTGCTCTTTGACTCAGACCAAGTATGTTCATGAAAAATTAAACAAAATGATTGAAGAGGATGAAAGCAACTGGTCACGAAAAGACATTCGACTTCCACCGTATTTTGTATTTCATAGAGACAATGTTGAGGAAAAGCAAGTGATTGTCAGCACTGCTTTGTGTCTTTTGGCAGTAATGGCAATACCACCAACCTGTTTGACAGACTGTTGGCTATATGGTTAATTTTCAACTTTTAAATGTCACAAAAACATCAAATATTGTTCAGCCATACTCAAAATACAATATGTTCACAAAAAAATTAATATGTGCCATATAAGCTGATGCGGCTCAATGACAGGGCTAATTTTTGTTTGCAAAAATGAGTGATTATTAATATTTTGACATAGAGGAATCATAGAAAGTAAATTAAGCAGACTGATTTAAAGTCAAAATGATGAAAAGGCTAGGCTAATTCCAAGGGGCTAAATGGCACATATCTTTGGCTACCCGAAACTCTTCTATAAGATGCATTTGCATTACAGTCCTGCTGTGGTGAAACTAAAGTTCTGCTTTGCAATACTGACTGCATCTTCCTTCACTTTTACTAGGAAGTGCTCCCAGGCAACTGATAGTTTTTGATCTTTATTTTCACCTCCATCCTTTATGTGCCATCTCTATCTGCCATATTGCATAATTGAGTAATGAAGAAGGAAAATTTTAATTGATGCTTTTTAGTTTAATCGAATTTATGTTTACTACTTGTTTAAAAAGTTCCAGAAAGCTACAGCTGAGTCATGCAGCTGTAATAATAAAGTTGCACATCAAAGGAAAACACTGGGAATTATTTTTTTGGCACTTGTGGTGTAGAGAAGGTGTTATGATGAATCCAATTGAGCATCTGTGGGATGTGTTGGAACAAGAAATCCAATCTGCAGCAGTTTCACCTTGCAATTCACAGGAGTTAAAGGATCTGCTGCTAATTGTCTTGGTGCCAGGTACCTCAGAACGTCTTCACAGATTTGACAACTTTAGTCAGCTGGCTTGAGTGAGATTTCTAATTCAAAATTAGTTTGCACAAATGTATGTAGGAGTTTTATTACCTTGTACCTAACCTGTAGGGTTTGCAAACTGCCCCAACGTTTTCAGTGTAGCAAATTTTAGATGTATAATGTTTTGGTGGCATGCAGAGAAGAAATGGCATATTCTTCATTTTATAATATTCCATAATATTCTATTGGAGTCTGACATGGTCGCTTTTCTTCAAGAGTTGCTACACATCTCACAACTAGTCATCTGTAACATTTTGCTGTCTTACAATGCATTCGTGCAGCTTTCATAGAAATGGCACTTTCAATATAGAAAACAAAAAAGAAGAGGGGGCATATACATTCAATTGATACAGTGTGCAGTTAGCTCCTTGCCTAAATTTCTAATCCATTACATACCTAGCTTAGTCCTACATTCTGTACAATCAAAGAACAGTAAATACAGCTATTGCGCTGTGTATGTGATCATGGAAGTAAAGAAATTTATAAGTAAACCCTTCCCTTCCCATATGCTTTTCCTATTTCCTGCAAAGCATTCCCTATTTAATTTGGCAGTTACATCATTTACTGTTGCTTTGAGTAAAGGCTGGCCTGCAAGGTACAGTACAAGATCTTCTGCCAGGAAATGAGTGCATGGACCGGCATACACATCTGATACTGTAGCCGTCTTTCCTGCCAGGAAGTACTCATCCTTCTTGACAACTATGAATGAAAATCAATCATATTTTATGATTTTCGGTGATTTATGATTCAACCACAATCCTAACTTGCTTTTTATGTTATTTTTACTGTTCTGCACATAATTACCATCACCAATTCAAATATGCTTCATAATCCACTGAATTTGAGACAAACATCAGCAATTGCTGCTAAACCGCTAAAATAGCAAAGCACATCAGTGATGTCACACATCCAACACCATACATGCCATTTGCAGTTGTTGACTAAATTGATCATTTTTAGGTGGTTCATTAGTAGAGTTAGAAATTAATCATTTCCTTCTTCAAAAACACCAGTCTCATAAATCAGAATTGGAATACTTTATTAATCCCTGAGGAAATTATGTGGTTACAGTTGCTCCAGGACAGTAAGAAAGTAATCAACAAGTTAAAATACCAATATTGAATAATACAATATATTACAAATGACAAAATATAACAAATAGCTCTAATAATACTGCTCAATATATAAATATCCTAATATATTGCAGAAATTAACTAGATAAAGTTGAATTGAGGTTCCCCTATTATCATACTTATAAGTGAATCAGACCAGCATGTCACTGGTTTCTGAATATGTTGCATGCTTGAATCTTCAGATTGCCTCAACCCAAATGTTTGATATTGTAATGTTGAACCGGCTGACTATCATAAACAGGATGTGACTGGTTTTTCTGATGATATCAGATAGTGTAGTGGTGCATAAAGGTTTGTTTTTGTACTGTGGTAGTGGCCAAAAGACACAATTATTGGTTTTCACAAAATTTGCTGCTTCTGTGTTTGTAGATCTTTTTGTCAGATGTTTTTATGGTATACTGAAGTATAATTAAAAGCATTTCACAAGTGTCAAAGGCTTTTATTGACAACTAAGAACATAA